CTAAGATATTTGAAGCTTACTGGGTGCTTGCTACTCTAGAATCACACATTCCAAAATCCTGGCCTAGCTTCTTCCATACAGGGATTAATGTTGGTAAGATTGACGGGCGGAAGAAAGAAAGAAAGAAGGAAGAACCTTATGAATCACTGAAAGACAGATCATTGACGGACGAACTGACTGACGAACAGAGTGACTAACTAACCGATCACGGACAGACTGGCAGACGTTCTAAACGAATATAATATTTGTCCTGTGAAATTATTTCCAGATACTCCAGCAAACATTACCATTAATGGATCACGCAGTACTGGCATTTTCTTGTCGTCTTCTCCGAAACAACTATGTCCGCCGGGCAGGACGGTCGATATTGATGCCATACTGAACATTATCGGTAAAGCCGAGAAGTTTGTATATATTGAAGTCATGGATTATTTTCCGACAACACTTTATCTAAAGCATAACACGTAAGTTTAGAAATCGTGAACAATTCAGGAGAAAAGATAGATGATGGTATTGACGGGGTATTTTTTGATTCCGGATCCAAAGGCTAAAAGTCCACAATTCTTCCGAACCGTGAATTGTTTTGATCCCGATTCCTAAACATCGATCCTGAATCAAAATCTAAAACTCTGATCCCCGAGCTCCTAAATTTAATTTTGATCCTAGATCCCAGATATACCAGTGATGTAAATTCATATTTTTACGCATCGTTTAGGTACTGGCCAGTGATTGATGATGCACTTCGCAAAGCAGCGTTTGATCGTGGTGTAGTTGTAAGACTTTTAGCTGGKTTATGGAATCACACGCGACCTGATCTCAAGAGATTTCTCAAATCTCTGTCGGCTATAAATGGATCGAAGTATGGTGACGTSATTGTGGAAACGGTACGTATACTTTGCACCGCTCTTTTTTGTTCTAACCCTTGGAAATCCAGGCACAGAAAGGACCAAAAATTTGCCTTTTCGAGTAAAATACATTTAATTTTTATTTTCTTTATGGCAGAAATTTTTTCAAGTTCCTAGTTATTCAAAGGCCCAAAAAGAAATCCCATTCGCTCGAGTAAACCACGATAAGTTCATGGTCACTGACAAGACAGCCTACGTCGGCACTTCGAACTGGGCAGCGGACTACTTCATCGGTACTGGCGGTATCGGTTACGTCATCAACGACCAATCAAATGATTTTATACGACGACAGTTGCAGTCAGTGTTTGAGAGAGACTGGAACTCGAAGTACATTGTTCCTGTTCAATAACAGACTGGAGTTATTATAACTCGTGGATTTGATGGAGAGATTACAATTTTAGTGAAGACGTGAATCTTCCTCAGTCGTCTCGGTTGAGTCGTCTCTCTCTGTTGCGCAGCATGCATCCAGAGAGAGAGACGACTGCAGACGAGTTTGTGAATATCGTGAATTATGGTTGAATACCCTAGAATATGGGTTGAAACCCAAACATTTTTTTCTAGAATTGAAATTTTTGGAGTACAGTTAACTCTCTTTGAACGACCACTCTAGTAAACGACCATCTCCCGTAAGCGACCACCTTTTAATTTCCCGTTTTGTTCAGTTTCCCATATAATCTGTAAAAAAAAATTCTCGTAAGCGACCATCCTTGTAAACGACCACTTTTTCCTGATCCCGAGGTGGTCGCTTACGAGAGAGTTGACTGTAGTTTAATTCTATTAGTTTTGATATTTATAGTCACTAACGAAAATAATGATAAACATACAAACACATTCAAAAAAAAAATAAAATAAATTGAAGGCAGAAACGCTTAGAACAATCAACATACTGAAATATGGTACTGTATGCAGTTTTAGTTAGAACCCATTACAAATTGAATCTTTACGACTTTAACGTACGTTTCTGTCCTATTTTTAGTGTCAGTATGAGGTTTCAAATAAAACAGTGAAAGAATGACTTTGATTAAGTAATTTAAACTGATAATTCAAATTCAAATATGCCATAATTTCTGTAGATGCATCTAGTGAATATCGTCCCCAGGCCCTCATCCCTGTGTTTGTGGTCAGGCTTATAAGACCT